GTGGTTATAAACGGTCACATCTTATTTCTGTTTTCCCTCTCAATTATAAACAACAATGTTGTGATGAACAAACTTCTGCACAAAACATCGGAGCCCATTTTATTTTGTATTTTGCAGAAGTGACATTGAAGGATGAACGAGCATATGCAGTTTTACTTTTTAAATTTTTTATAAACCTTCTTAGCCAGGAGCATAGATTCAAGTTCCCCTAAATGTATGCTCCTGGGTATGTTCATTTTTGAAACGTCTGATACATATTGCCAAATGATAACTGCCGACATTTATGTGACGGTGTGTGTTAGATATAGCTAAGTAAGACCATAACAACTTGGACAAATGGAAGTTTGCTTTTCTGTTTAGAATCAATATTTGCCGAGCAAATGATTAGGTCAATAAATTGCTAAGTAGAACATGCAAACACTGGGAAATAGCACATTAACAACATTAATACACGTTGCACATCAATTGCAGGTGTAATGCAGGTTGGTTTAAAAACACTATCAATTTTAATGCTTTAAGTTATGGGCCAATTGCCAAGAGGACTTCAAGGTAACGCACTGTATTTGTTTCTCCCTCTCGGGCATGTCTATAAAAAAGGTTTTTGACATGTATACCAATCAGTCTTTCAAGTGTGTAAGAACAGATTTTTATAGCTATCCTTACCTAAGATATACTATCACCTGTCCCCATGTAGTGTGTCTTCTGGGCTCTCTCATACACCCTAAATGGCACACAAGAGAAAACTCGCCAGTTAATGTGACGCTGGCTGGGAGTGTTTTAAGGAATCCCTTTCTGTTTCTTGTTGACACTATGCTTTAGGCTTGAACATACTAAGGAAGCAGATAGGGTCAGGTGGCTGATTAAGAAACCAAGTTTAGGCTGGGCGCAGTGGCTCCCACCTGTAATCCCAGCACTCTGGGAGACCGAGGTGGGAGGATTGCTTGAGCTCAGGAGTTTGAGACCAACCTGAGTGAGAGTGAGACCCTGTCTCTACTAAAAATAGAAATAATTAGCCAGGCATTGTGGCACGTGCCTATAGTCCCAGCTACTTGGGAGGCTGAGGCAGGAGGATCGCTTGAGCCCAGGAGTTTGAGGGTGCTGTGAGCTATGATGACACCATTGCACTCTAGGCTGGGCAACAGAGTGAGA